TTTTTAAAAAAGCAGTTATTTCAAATTGGCATAATATTTTCTAATATTTACAGTATTTTCAATCAAATAAATGGTGCGCATAAGAGACTTCTTTCAAAAACATTTTTAAAAAATCTTAATTTTCCAACCCCAGACTTTTGAGTTGTTGTCTAAATAATTTTTAATGAAGATCAGATTTTTCTCATTAATTTATTTTAATGTCTCAGTGCTCTGGTATTGGCATTTTCTATTCTGTGTGTTTTTGAGCAACACTAAGTGTGTGATTGTGTGTATTTTTGTAGGGGAAATCCCTGAATGCAGTCGTGGGGGTTATACTGTTCTTCAGAGCCCGTACCGAAGCACCAGATTCAGCTCCCAGCAGCTGCTCCAGTCTGCCCTGCAGGAGCTCGTTTGTGATCATTCACTATCTCCCGGATGGTATCAGTTCCAGATCTTTGATAAGCCAGCCCGTATGCCCACCAAATGTGTGGAGGTACAGTACAGTGCATCTGTGTAATCGGTCCAGCCCAGCCTGTTGAACAATGTCTTCTTTATGTTACGACTTAATGACCCATGCTTCTATATGACGGTAACCCATACAGGTGAATCATTGTGGAACACAAGCCCCAGTGTGGCTCTCTCTGGCCGAAGGAGAGACTCTCCCTCGCCCTCTAGAGGTGAAGCAGATGACAGCCTGCGCTACCTGGCAGTTCCTCGGAAGCGCTAGTAAAGACTGCTGTCTTTTTCGCCTGCCTGTCACCGCCCGCAATTGCGGGGAATTTTATGTGTACTTACTCCAACCAACACAAGGATGCATGGGATATTGCGCTGAAGGCAAGTCAATGAACCTCAATGAGTGTCTGAAATTGTGAGATTCACTTTATTAGTATAATTATCCTTTGGTTCTGTATCATGCATCCTAAAAGCTGTAAAATATCATCCAGAAATCATCATTTTTGAAAGTTTGGTAGTGTTTAAAGTGCCCCTATTATGCCATTTTTAAGGTTCCTAATATTGTTTTGGTAGTCTCCTACAAGAGGATTACATGCATGCAAGGTCAAAAAAACGCTTTTGCTTTCTCAAAATATGCATTTAATATCACCTCATTTTCCAGCGATTCTCAAACAATTCGTTCGAAGCAGTTCAAAGATTCAGTCTCTCTAAACCCCGCCTTTCCGTGAGCCTGCTCTGCTCTGATTGGTCAGATGGCCTAGTCTGTTGTGATTGGTCTACAGCGTACAGCGCGTTTCGGAAATGATAAGCCTATTTCAATAGTTCTGGATTTTGAACGCTCTACAGAAAATATAAACATCTATTATTTATCATACTTACAGGTTAATTCAGTGGAGCAGCTGGTCCAAATAAACAGGATACTGATCCATCTTTCAACAGCAAGCATTTTGTGAATCCCGCGTTGAACTCCCCGAGATTAAAGAAGCAGTCGTCAGTAGAATGACGTGTTTGTGGGCGGGGTCAAGTTGTTCGCGGCCGGCCAACGTAGAACATAGGCACGCGCACATTATGCAAATGTGTTCCCCCGTGACGTGTAGCCATCACGGAAGTGGGATTCGAATTACTGACGACTCGTTTCAGCTGTTCAGAGTCGATTCTTTATTTTGGGAGAAAATAACTTTATTTATCGTGCACTTTCAGCTTTACAACTTTGCAGATCGTTTACATTCACATACAGCTGCATTACATACTGCATGAAAGGCAACATTGGAAATGGCATAATAGGGGCACTTTAAAAAGCAATAGGGTTCAGAAAGATACTTCATGAAGTTTTATTATATTCTCAGAGATGTCCGACACCAATCAAACCAGCTGTGACGGGAGACAAAGGAATAGTGATGGAACTTGCAGTGGTAATCAGTCCAGATCTGTCTAGCAATATGCATCTTCAAAACTAAACAATCTAAACAAACTAATTCAACACATTAATTTGGAATGACTCACAAAATGATTTTCCAGAGGTTGCTGGATCAATGCATGTTTACAAATACAGTAAAATGAACCAAACATATCTGAAAGGTTATAGTTCTCTTTTCACGCATGCATCAAAACAATTTAGAGTTGGCAATCATATGGAATGTTTTTGCCCCCGTCTTCTCCTGCTAATGAATCTAGCAGAAGTTAATGTATTTCTGATTATATATTTGTTTTTGTGTTTCCACTTGGAGTGTCAAAGTAATCCCTCTCCTGAGCTTAGGCACCCCAGTAGAGTCTCTCACCCACTTTTCCTTCTAGTGGAACCCTTCAAAACACTTACTTTAGCTGTGCCCCTTTCATCAGGCTTCATAAAAATGGAACTGAAGTTTTCATTGATGATTAAGAGTTTGACCTGAAATCTAGGTCTTGGGTCACTCGTTTGTTGTTTTAAAGCTGGAGTGGCACCAAACATTTTCTATTTCAGATAGAATGCCATTTAGCGTTTTGGGCTGATGTGAACAGCTACAGACATGCAGCAGGGTCACCAAATCTGACAAGGCAGTCTTAGAGGTTGCTGAAATCGTTTACCTCCTATTTCACACAGAATGGCTTTAAATTTCTCCAGATACTCTTGTGATGTCTAAACTCCTTTGTTTCATATACCCTAAAAAGTATTTAGTATTTTTATAAACAGCTACAGATATACAGCAGAGTAACTAAATCCAAAAAGGCACCATTCCAAAACCTGCTACCCTCCTCTGTTTCACACAAAATGGCTTTAATGTGCT